AAAGAAAGAAAGAAAGAAAGAAAGAAAGAAAGAAAGAAAGAAAGAAAGAAAGGAAGGAAGGAAGAGAGATAGAGAGAGAAAGAAAGAAAGGAAGAAAGAAAGAAAGGAAGGAAGGAAAAGAAAGGAAGGAAAAGAAAGAAAGAAAGGAAGAAAGAAAAATGAAGAAAGAAAAAAACCTTCTTAATCTAAGATCTAAGACAGGCCATGGATACAAGATTATTCGAGTGCCAATGATGGGTAAGAGCTGTTTTTTGATGGCAACCTAAGACAAACTCAATTTTCTGCTCTGTAACGTGTGCAGCTCTTAGAGATAAAAAAGACAGGTAAGATTCTCTTAGAGGTGGATCAACCTAAGATAAGGCATGAGTGCTAGGATTCATGTACCAATGATGGATAAGATCCACACCTCTTGAGGGTGTGCTGAAGACAGGCACAGTCTTTCTGAGGTAATAGCTGAGACAGCTTTGGCTTATACAAATTAAAAACAAAAACAAATGGGAGACATGTAGGGGGCACAGTTGGAGTTAACTTTGGCTGACTTCTTTCTTGCTTATGATTACTCATTAATGAGTCTGCTGAAATGTCTTTGTTTTTAGTTAAGATGTGTGTTATATCCTGCCACGTTCCTCCGTTTACACATACGTCCTTGAGAGACTGTCCAAGCCTGAAGGAAATGGGCTTAGTCAAACATAAATACTGTGTACCACAAACTCACCATGTAAGCATTTGTGGTCATTGTTCAGCTTCTTGGAATTGATCATACTTTCTGTTGCTTGCCTTTGAAAGACACTGAGAAAGTAAACTTGTCACCAGGGTGGTACTGACCAGCAGCCCTCCCATGTTTTTCTCTTGCATCTTCTTTCTGCCTTTCTTAGAATCATTCTCACTCCCCTAGTCATGGTTTTCCCACTGACTGACTGGCTGCCCCTGGGAATGTATTCATGTCAAATATTTTAAATACTGTTGAAGTCATATAGTTCCATTTATTATCATCTTTACTTCTGTTTGTTTGATTTGGCTTTTCAAGACAGGGTTTCATTATGTAGCATTATTTTGGAACTTGATACGTAGAGCAGGTTGGCCTTGAATTAACAGAAATCCAAGTCACTCTGCCTGTCAAATCCTAGGGCTAAAGGCATGCACCACTCACTTTTAGCTTTAACATAGGAAGGAGTTCCAGCAAGGCTAGGCAGCTTGTCCACGATCACATAGCTTGTAGGCGATAGCTTTGGGGGTGAGGTCAAGTGCCATCAGTTTTAAAGGTTGTGTCTGTGCAGTCTCCTTTCCCTAGATTGTGACCATATATTTGCTCTGTCTTTTACTTCAGCCTCAAGACTATGCTCATGCTTATGGGTTGACCTGGTGCTAATCACAAGCCTAAGAATCATAATCCAACTGACCGGAACATCTAATCTACAACCCCCCAATTATAATCTCAAAAGGTGAAGATGAAAAATTTGGAAACACTGAAGGCTGTCTCAGTTAGGGTTTCTATTGCTGTGAATCGTCACCTTTAATTGGGGGCTGTCTCACAGTGCAGGGATTTAGTAAACGATTGTCATGTTGGGAAGCATGGTGGCATGCCCGCAGATATGGTACTGGAGAGATAGCTGAGAGTTCTGCATCTAGATTGCCAAGGCAGCAGGAAGAGAGAGGGACTCTGAGCCTGGCTTGAGCATCTGCAAGCTCAAAGCCACTCAAGTGACACACTTCTTCCAACAAGGCTACAGTAACTCCTAATGATACCACTCCTGATGAAGCTACGGGTCCATGTTCATTCAAACCACCACAAAGGCCAAATTATGAAAACTGCAGTTCCCAGGAAAGAGGCTCTTGTATGGGGGTGGGGTAGAAATTTTAATTCTGGGAAGAAAGCTTGCCGTAGACTTCAGTAACAACAAAACTGTCAAAATATGTTGTTTAGGAACCAAGAGAGATGGTTCAGCAACTAAGAGTGTTCACTACTCTTGTAGAGGACCTGAGTTTGGTTCCCAGCACTGATGGTTGGGTGGCTCACAGCTGCTTTTAACTCCATATCTAAGGAAATTCACATCCTTTTTGGCCTCCTTGGCTGGGAGCATACATGTGCAAGCATATGCAGCCACATACACATACACACACACACACACACACACACACACACACACACAGATGATAAAATCTTTTGAAATATGTCATTTATCTCTAACAGGCATTAGAGATTTTTGGGAACCACCATGTAGGTGCTGGGAAACAAACCTAGGTCCTCAGCAAAAGCAATAAGCATGCTTAACTCATGAGTAGTCTCTCCAGCTCCTGAAATTTGAGTAGCTTTTGGTGAACCAAAGTAATATTTGCCTAAGGAGCCAGTGAGATTTCTGGTTTGACAATTATGTACAAGTAGAACAAGAAGATACGTACTCTGTTCAGTTGCCAGAACGATTTCTGCCCAGTCTGTGACCTATATATGAGTATATTCTAAATGCTTCCTCCCCACCCCAAGTGTCGCAGCAGCATAGCACAGAGAAGGTGAATATAATTTCAAAATATGTGTGTTATCTATTTTACTATAAAAAGTTGCCTATGATATGTTCTCAAATAACTGAACTTTAAAAAGTACACTTGTATTTAAAGTCATTATTTTTTTCCCCAGAATTATATTTACAGAATTTTGACCTTTCAGAATTTTAGACTTTATGGATTTTGATTGCCTGCATTTCAAATCTGGTATTATAGCATCAAAGCCTGTCTTTTGGGGTCGTTGACCAAGGCCCATAATTACTGTGTTATTCTGGTGGACAGTTGCTTAGCACATAATAGATTCTCAATGCTTGTTTTTATTTTATTTTTTTGAGACAGGGTCTTGCTACCTAGTCTAAACTGACCTAGAACTGTTCCTAGTATTTAAAGGATTACAGCCTAGAGTATTTTGTTGAATGGAGCTGAATATAAGTGGATGAATTAATTTGTAGGACCTTGCAATATGAATCTTTAAATAGAACCATTTAATAGAAGTGGGTGCTGGATAATGTAGTATTGCTGTTAAGAAAAAGTCGTGAGCAAACAGCTAATTTGTACAACACGTGTAATGATTGGACGATGGGGATATGTATAATACTTACGTGTACTCAGCGCTGGAAGTTCGTTGTAGTTGTTATCCCATCCCTTGTTCTAAACTGTTGCGTGGGACTGGAACCCGTGTCTAGATTCTAAGCGTTGCGTGGCTGTACCGCTTCAATTTAGTCTCCAGCACACTAACACTTTCAGAGCTCTCTTGAATCTAGGTATTAGTGTTAGCCCAATCCCGTGTAGTTGTTTGATTTTTAGTGTTTAGGAAGAACTTCAAATGTAGAGCGACGGTACTTGTGCGGCTTGTCCACTTCCATCCAGCTCTTTAAGCCCCAAGACTCCAAAAGGCCCAAGATGCGAAGCTCTGGCCTGTGGCAGCAAACGTGTTTAGTCAGCACCCTCACTGGACCAGTCAACGAAATACCTAGCACCATTTCTAATTATGTAAACTAGGACTTCTAATTCTGTATGTAATACAGAATAAAACAAGCATACACAATTGCCTCCGGTACTGAAAAGTGTCCAAATCTAAATCCTGGAGTGGTCAAAACAGGCTGATGGGTTTTAAGATGCCAAATTCGAGGCTGTCTTCAGAACCGGGCTTTGGCTACTACGTGCACCGCGCAGCCGCTAATTGCCAAGAGGCGGAGAATCACGTCGCTGCGGAGACCCGCGCCCGGGTACGAGGACCCGCACCACTGTAAATAAAGCTCTGCAGCCGAGGCGGCGCCTCTGCCCGTGGGATTGGCTGCCCGAGTCGTGACGCGGTCTGGGCGGGCCCGACCGGTTTGCGACAGTGGCCGCGGGTCCCGGACCGGAGAGCCCAGGGGGACTCGCCGCACGGCGCCGGGGTCCCGCCGGCGTCTGGGGGCCACCGCTCGGGGTCGCGGCGGGTGCGGGCGCTGCCAGGAGCCGCCGTCGCGCGCGCGGCGCGGGACGCCGAGGTCTGGCTTGCGGGCGCAGCCGGGGCTGCGGGAGCACGGGGACGGGACGCGGAGCGGGCGGGTGCGGAGCTCTCAGCCGCCCGAGGGTGGTGTGCGGGGGCCGCTCGGTCCCGCAACTTCACTCCTTGTCGCCCCGCCGCGCGGGGGACTCGCGCCAGGCAAACTTTCTCCCCGCGGAGCCCCGGCAGAGATTGGGGGTGGCGGGCGGGGCGGCGGCCAAGCGCTGTTTGTTTCCTTTCACTTCCCGCGGCAGCCGCGGAGAAGAGGACGGCGGGGCTGGGGCGGAGCGGCCGGGGCCCCGGGAGTGACGGTCGCCCCGTCGGGATTTCCCGCCTCCCCCTCCCCTCCTCCTCCCCCCCAGGGCCCGGGCCATGCGTGCGCCGTGAGGGGCGGGCGTCCGGACTTCGCGAGCTGATGCGGACTCGCTTTTGAGCGGCCGGGGACGAGCGAAGCAGCCCCAAAATGGAGGACTTTGCTACCAGGACCTACGGGACCAGCGGCCTGGATAACAGACCTCTTTTCGGGGAGACGTCTGCCAAGGTGAGTGCGGGAGTGGGCCCCGGGCCAGAGTGAGAATCCCGCCTCCCTCCATCCCGCTGCCTCCTTGCAGCCCGCCTGGAGGGTGCTTGCAAGTGGAAAGAGCTGGTCCTGCAATCCCGGCTCCTCCTTGGGAATGTTTGCTCTGCACTCGGCACCGAGAGCAGCTTGGAGTGGAGAAAAGTTCAGAAAGTTCTGGGCAGTTTGTGGGAAGCCCTTCAGGAGAGTGCGGAAACCCCACGGTGGAGGGAGAGTTCTGCGAAGGTTGCACAACCGCCCTTCCCAGCTGCACACTTGAGGTGTGCGTCCAGAGCTTTAGTGGTTTCAGAAGTGCACCCAGAGCCCAGGGCTGCTTCTGATGATTGTTTAACTAGGGTTCTTAAGGGAATGATGAGGATGTGAAGCAGTTCCATGAAGGTGGATGTTGGCCACAATCCCAGGAGGTGATCAAACAGGGTCCCAGCCGTCAAATGGGCACTAGTAAGTCTTTTAAAAGTGTAACAGTTTACAAGAAGCTTGATTAGATAGAGCCTCTGGCCAGCAATGGACGAAAGAAAGCCTTTCTCTGTACTTAGCATTAACTTTCTGAAACTTGCTGTTTCCCTGCTACTTGTCTTGGGGACAATCAAGAAACTCTGTACTCAGCATAAAACTTTCTCAGAAGTCTGGGCAAAATTAATCTGTTGTTTCCTGCTTCCCCCTCCCACCACTTATAGATGGCATTGGAGACCATTGACCCCTGACCCTTGATAAAGAGCAGTAAGCCTTTCAAAAGTTGCCGTGATTAGTGTAGAACTGGGTCTCTTACCTTGTGGGAAGAGCCTGTGACACACAGGGAACTTCACCTGGCAGTCCCAGACTTGGAAGCTGCCAGCCTATCATGAAGATTACGTATTATTAAATTCCACATAGATTTTGATTTATCTTGGGGCGCTTTAATAAGACATTTCCAGATGGATGTCCAGATTCTTGTGACTTCACATAATCTCAGCTCACCGTGCCCGGGAGCTCAAGTTCAGTAATGTTCCTCCTGTTAGTGCAGACTTTACTGGGCGTTCATCGTGGGTCTGTTGGGTCCTGGGTATTGAAGGAAAGCAGTTGGGAAGGGAAGATTCTGGTGGATATGTCCTGTGTCACACTGCACGGAGGGCATGTGTTTTGGGTACAAAGGTGAATCTGGTTTCATGTATATGAAAAATTTGTCCCAGCTGTCCACAAATCAGATTCACTATCTCTTGCACATATCTCCTGTTCACTTTCTGAGCACTGATTGGGAGTCTGGGTGATTCAGACTTTTAGCTTTACGGGCCCTGTAATCTAGCAGCACTGGGCTTCCCAGTGGGCTTGGTGACTGATACAGACACTGAAGCCAGCTGGCTGAGATAATCACTATGTTAGTTTCAGCACTTGGGAGGCTGGGGTAGGAGGGTCACTTGATCTCAGGTGTTCAAGATGAACCTGAGGTACGTAGTGCAATCTTGACTCCAAATCAAAACCAGAAGCCTTAAAAGCAAAATAGCAATCCTGCAACAAACCTGTAGATACTGAGAAATAATCGATGTTATTGGCCAGCCAAATGCCTACCATCCGTCATCCATTTGAAACCCATCCAAGGACATCAGTATCCAAATATATCTCTGTTCATGACACACCTGAGTTCAAGTGTACAACGATTATAATGCCCTGCACTACTTAGGTAGCTTCAGAACATTATAGCACTGGTCACACAAGGGAAAAGTTAAGAATAATATCTGTTTCCTACAACTGCATCAGCTTGCTGTGTGAGGTGGACAGGACCACTGCATATAAATTCCATGGAATGGAGACAGGAAAGAGATCCATGGTTTGATGTGGGGCGGATCATGTTTCCAATAAATTGAGATGTCTAATCTAGAGAAGCATCTGTCTTTGTTTACAGCAAATAAAGAGCTTTATGTGTAGGCTTGAGTAACTGCTGGAGCTGGAGGAGTCTTGGGAATTCTGAGAAGTCAGTCTCTCTCTCCTCTCTCTTGTGTGTGAGTGGCTCTGGCTCACTCCCTTTAAGATTCCAGGAAACTAGACACAGTAGCCACCTAAGTGAAAACTTGCTAATAGTGAACTGCCGATTAGCAGAGAAAATCTAGACAGGGGAAAGCCCACTCTCCTATGACAAATTCTCAGAGCTTTTAGTGATCTCGTTTCTCTAGAACAGTCAACATGGTATAGGCTGGCAGTTGTAGGTGTCATCTCTTAATTCTTAAGGCTAAGAGCACTGATGCCCAGGCAGAGGGGCGTCTTGAGGGTTTGTATTTCCCCAGCACTAGGCAACAGGCTGGGCACTCAGTGTTCATTGTTTGAGAGTCCTTTCTAAGACAGATGGTTTTATTTCTGATGTCTGGCTAAGGAAGTGAACTCCATGATATTACTTGTTTAGCCACATGGCCAGCTCTCTGACAGTATTTTGCCAGTTCCGTTTTGTGAGCTGAATGGTGGTGTGAATACTGACTTAGTCATGCTTCTGAGCACACTATAGACATTCGAATACTTGTTGCCTCTTCCCAGGAAGGCAGGCTGAGGGGTTGCCCCAGCTCAGGTAGTGAGTTCTCACTTTTGACACTGGAATCTACTCCAGAAGAAGAAACTTAAAACCTAGTGGACCTTGAGAGCCACCCAGGTGGGCAGACCCGAAAGATCTCCCGCCTTCCATACTGAATGACCACAGTGATTTCAGTTACAGAAATTACGAATTGATTCAGTCTTCAGTGATAGGTTTAGGACTATCTTCAGAGATGGAGCCACTGAAATAATTCTTGTTCTACTTGAGGGATGACAGAAGGGACAGTAGTCATATTTTGTAAGATACACCTCATCAATACCTGTGAGAATGTTACCAGTCTTGGTTAGAATATCAGAATGTTATTTTCACCGTCTTAAACCATTTCTTCCCAGTAAGGATGCAGTAAGATTGCTGTGAGTCTGAGAGCAGCCCTGGCTCCGTAGTTGCAGGCCAGTGTGAGATACAGCATGAGAGCCTGCTTCAAATGAAGCTAAAAACCAAAGCCGTTCTGAAGTTCTGTTGCATAGTGCATTTCTTTCAGGTGGAAGCCAAACATGGCAGAGAGCACAGTAATAAATGTCTGATGTTTTTCTATGGCCATGTTGTAGCTTTTGTAGTTTCTGAAACAGGGCTACCCATGTGTGGACCACAAGTGCAGGGGCTAATATGCTTGCCTAGCAGGCGTTAAGACTCCAGGTTTCATTCACAATACTTCCTAACCCCACCCCAACCCCGGCCACCTATCCAACTAACCAAAACACCCAGAAAAGACTTAAGCTCAGTGGTGGAGACTTGGCTAACATGGACTTGGCTAACATGTCTTGTGTATTTCATCCCTGGTACCAACACTCCCAGCATACATACACACACACTCATTCATTCATATTCCCCGCCCCCCGGAAAGAAACTTTTGGCCTTATATGTAATTTTGAATTTCTTTGTAGACCTAGAAAAATATTTAGACACCTAAATTGTTTCAGGATGTAACTAGTCTTGTGCTGTCTTTGATGTCAGTGTATGCTTTACGCTTGGAGTCCGTTTCAGTTCACTTCAGGTACCAAGCACATAGGCCGATCCTATCGTTTGGACAGTGTGTTCCAAAGCTACTGGCTTATGGTTATGGTATTTTTTTTTTTTTTAGCTTGGTTTGAGAAATGCCTTGCTGTGAGCGTTTCAGAAGCTTGCTGGGCTGAATTTCTCTGAGGCTAGTTGATGAGGGTGGGTGGGTAATACTCAACTACTTTAGTAGTGTTTTATGCCCACTGCAGGAACAGTCCAAGACTTGGCTCTGTGGTGTGCTGTATGGTGGACCCAGGACTCTTTTCTTCGCTCCTCCACCTCCTTCCCTGCTGTAGTCTGAATTAAAGCCTGGAGATAGTCCCTCTGTCTAGTCCTTGGTTTCAGAAAAACACCTGTCTCTGCAGTCGAAGGGGGTCCAGTTAGTTGTCCAGGCTTGGGTGTCATCATTTCTTGCCTTCATAATTACTTGCTAGGTATCTTAAATCAGTTTCACATGTCTAGGCTGTGTGGACCTGGGTATGAAGAGGAACCATGATTCTTTCAGTGAGAGAGAGCAAAGCATTTCCCCACAGCTAATGCAAACGGGCAAAGGACAGACGCTTCACTTGGTGAGATGTAATGAGAATTAGTTTCTAGACAAATGTGTTACAGAGATGGTGACAGATCACAAAATACACAGTTAATCTAAGAAGAGCAGTGGCATCCTGTTACTCATGGTAGAATGTGAGGCTGGGGAATTGCTAAAGTAGACTCCAAAGCAGGTGACAAGGGGAAGGGAGATTTTCTGCAGAGGTCACTGGGCTCTGAGGCTTTTGATATTGGTTTTAAGAACAAGATGCTCTTCCCACGACCCTCAGTAAATAAGCAAGCAAGGAGAAGGGGCAAAACCAAGATTACTTGCAGTGTCTTAGTCAAGTTGTTTGAACTGGGAGTATTCAAAAAAAGATGAGAAATGTAAGATGCTCTTTATGTGATTTTTAGCCCCTTTAAATTTATTTATTTATTTATTTAATTTTATTTGCTGATTTTAAAACAAAGCTGTGGTTAAAGTCTCTGTGTCTTTGCTGCCTTCTCTACCATAGGCAACGACAAGGCTGCGCTCCGAGCAGCAAAAACTTCTAATTTCTCTTGACAGCTTAGTTTCTGTAATACTGGAAGCACAGCTCTGTCTCCCTCAAAGGAACTACCGTTGTCTTCTCTCATCTAGCCTGAAAAATCAAGTTCCCTTCTTGTGTCAAAGTTGCGGTTCTGGACAAACAGATGCAGCGACCTCTCTTTCTACTCTGTAATTTCTTCCTCCTGTCTCAAGATCAGTGGACTTGGGAATCCCCGTGGATGGCCTCGGCCAGTCGTGGAATATTTGGAAAGCTCTGCAGAAGCCATCCGGAGAGAGTTGAGATGCAGTAGTCATACCTTGATCTATGCCAGGCCCTGCCCAAGGTCACAT